ACCTCCAGAAAGCAGGCGAAAAACCAAACCGAGAATTTCGATTGCCGGCCGCCGAACCAGCGCGTAAGTATAGACAAGCCCCAACCGTGCAAGAAGTAATGCCCATCTATTCCTTGGTAATGCAATGGGCTGCAAAATGTGCAAGCGATGTACAATGCACTCCTTGAAATGATCCTTGATACTATAAATGTCCAACGTGGCCTGGGCAAAGCAGACAGGTAGTAATACCGATACATTACTGCCAAAAACGCCTCTCACAGGTTTAACAAGTTTACAGAAACAAAGGAGTAGATAAAATGTTGTAATTTTACCTAGGAGACATCATGGCATATTCATGAAAGGAATTGGTGTGGCAAGAAAATTGATATAAAAACAAGATACATTATTATTTTTCAAACAATTGTAGTCAATTTTACCCTGTATTTGTAGTTTTTAAAACAGGGTGCTCCTAAGTCCTTTAGGCTCTTTTTAAAAGGTATCCCTTCAATCTCCAACAAATACTTAACATGTGCATATCCTCTGGAACACACGGAAATCTGGCCTCGATTTAGATAGAACATTTATACGCAGACATCCAGCTGAGCACGTGCATCTATGTTTGCAGCATTTACACAGAAAGCTCCCCAGTTTTTTGTAAAACACACGTGCAAAAGTAAGCATACATCTCCCAAGGATCAGAGGGGTGGCCGTGTTAGTCTGGATCTGTAAAAAGCGACAAAGAGTCCTGTGGCACCTTATAGACTAACGACGTATTGGAGCATAAGCTTTTGTGGGTGAATACCAACATGCATCTGACGCATCTCCCAAGTGCACAAGTATGGACATTTGCACAGACGAGCCTGACTTGTATAGTGCAGATCAGGTGCTTTTCACACATACCTTTAAAAACGTGGGTCCAACTCCCCTTCCAAATAATTTATTCCCACAAACTAAGCTACACTACTAAATTGATTAGTATCGTTGCCAGGCGACATGAGCAATCACCCCACCCAAAGATAGGTGGTTTCAAAAACCTCTCAAGGCAGAAGAAAAAAAAAAAGGACTGGTGTTAATGGAATACGTCAACTGTGAGCAGTGCGAGCCGCTATTTCCTCACACACGCAACAACCAACCAGTTTGAGGAGTCCAGACCCGGCTTTCCCACCTGATGTCACTCTGCAGGAAGAGGCAGCTGTTCCGCAGGTTGGCAGAGCTCCCCAGACAGCAGGTCACCTCTCCATACTCCTGCATGATCTTGATCATCTCACACATGGCTGCGAGAGAATGACAAAGGGAGACAAAGGCTTACCGTAGCATGTAAAACACTGGCACAGCAGCATTTTAAATCTCCTCTCACTCTGATTTCATTTCTGGAGACAAACAGTTAAACCTGTTAAAGGTTACCAGATCAACACACCTCAAGACTGCTCTTTGGAACTGAGTCCTTCAGACAACAAAGGCTAAGCCCATCAGCTTTCTGACCTTAAAAATATATGATCTGAGGTTAAAAGATATTGCCCTTCACATTTACTAGGAATTCCCCAATGACTTATAAACCAACATCAAGAACAGACCCTCCAAAACAGATATCAGAAGCCTTATTTTAACTGTCCACACAAACCCCTCTTCTTCCCACACTGTGTTCCCCCACCAGGAAGCTCTATGATCTAGCCTCCAATAAAGGGAAGGCAAAAATCATCCTCTCACTTCACTAAATGTTCTTGCCACTTCAGGACAGGTGTATGCAATCCAATCCTAGCTCAGTCTATGCCTTTGGAAAGAAATAACTGCTCTCCTGGTACCCTACGCACCTGCCCGTGGAGGGAAGGGGTGGAATTTTGATCCAGAGCCATTTGAACCTTTGCCTCCCCTGCATGGGGCACTGTTCCTTGAGCTTACAATTAACATGGACTTGGCTGCAGAGCACAAAGGCCTTGTTAAAAAATGTCTGGGAAATAATTTAAAATAAGGATTTCCCACTTAAATAGCGACTTTCATGCAAGACTGAGTCACTTTACCCACATTCACAAGGAGCATTATCCCCATTTTACAGATGAAGGAACTAAGGCACCAAGGGGGAAGTGATATAAACAAAGTCATGCAGAAAGCTAGTGGTAGTCAGGTAGTCCACTAATACCACTGCCATAGTAGGAAGTGATTTCTAGGAAGTGATTTCTGAGCCATGTAAGCAAATGATCACTGCAAGGGGAGATCAAAGCCTCCAAATTCCTCTGCAGGTTGCTAACATTTATTATTAAGTAATGAGCAGCAGTGTTGTAGATGCTCATTTCTGTAACTCCTATTAAAGCTATCAGCAGGGGGAGTTTCTTAGGGGTTGTGCTCACTATAGCAAGTTAATGGTAAAACTCCCATTGATCTGGTCCTCAGCACATAAGATTGCTATGGAGGCTCATCCACCCAGAATCCCCCTCCCAGTTTGCTGCAGGGTCTCCCCACCCCTCCACGCTCTCATGACCCACAGCAACTATCTGGAGAAAATGTTTGGCAGCTGATATGTGGGACAGGCCCAGCCCAGCGGTCACTTACTCTCTGAGGTGCAATCCGTAAAGAGGGGCACCAGCAAAGGCACATTGTCAATGTTCTGCAGGTGAGGTCTGACCTGGTGGATCCCTCGAGGAAGTTTGGCCTGTAGGGGAAGAACAAAGAGATTAAGGTGGCAGGAGAAAATTGTAAATTAATATCAAGGTGGTGATTACAGCCCCCCCCCACTGCTGCACTCAAATCTCTGTGGGGCGAGATTCCTGCGATTGCAGGATCGGGCTTAAGTTGCTGTCCACTATAGAGAGAGCTTGGCTTTCTTAAATGAGTGTAAAACACGGCTCCTGCTGAAGCATTACTTTGCAATTCACATGCCGATTGGCCCATGCTCTCCCCCATGATTCACTATTTGCCCTTTGCAGATGCAGCATGATCCAACAGTGGTCAGGGATTTAACTACCGTTTGAGCATCCAGCCAGAACACTAGTTCAGACACTGCATTAGGAAGAGATTGAATCCTTCAATTCAACCTGGAACACCAGCCCAGGACAACCAATTGAGTCAAGAGCGGATGTCAGGCTAGCCCGGCTGCTGGAGCTAGCCTTCCTGGGCAAAAGGGACCACTTTGCACAACGGCTGCCCCACAAGGGGGAGAAACTGGTCAGGGATATGGGGTGGGGGGGAAGAAATGTTGCTTGATGGAGCAGGAGGGAGAAATTAACATGAAAAAAGGAATGAGAGGGAATAGCTCCAGGGGGAGGATGAGGATATAAACTGAGCCAGTGAGAGAAGGGTACTCCCCCCCCCCCCCCGTGTGAGTTTTTGCCTGCCTGAAAGCCAGGCTCTTTGGGACTCTCTGCTGTCTCCTAGTGTGTCTGTGGGGTAGGTGGGGAGAAGGAGCAGGTATTTCATCTGCAACCCAGCTGAAATTTAAAAAGATACGTTTTCTTTTTCTAAATAGCGGCCTACTGGAGTGGTTTTAAATGTGTGTCTCTATGAAGCCAGTAGAAGCTACGTGCCATCTCCCAGACTTATGTGAGCCATCAGGCATTTCCCAGTCATTGATCTGCTCTGACAGAGCCTGCTGCAGCCCAAGATTGGGGAAGGGGAAAAGTGTTTTCTGCCAGCACAGACCACCACCCATTATCCACCCCCCCGCCTCCCTCCCACACACACTTGGAGGAGGAAGGGTAGGGAATCCAGACGGAAAGAAAGAAGCCTCGTTTCTCCTCACAGCCTCCTGGGCAGTTCTGTGTATGGTCATCTCAACTCCTAAATCAGCTAGCACTCTTTAAACCTTCTCATGGGAAGAAGGAAGGAGAGCTTGCAAAGGGGCAAAACTGAACTACTTAGTGCTGGGAGTTGTGCAGGTCCTTGATGTCAAGCTGGGAAGAGACACAACACGAACTAATTAACAAACAAGGATTACGTGCGGGTGGCGCTCCTGGAAAGCACCAAGGTGTTGCTCTTAACCAGAGAGTCACTGTGGCGTGGAGAAGGAAAGATACACTCACCCTGTTGCAGTCCTCCAAGAAGCTTGGGATATCACTGTCTGTTGGCTGAAAGCTGATGAGATCCAAGTGCCCTTCCTCTTCCATCAGCAGCAGGCCCTCCACATCATCTCGAGAGACTGAAGCAGAGAGAAAGGCAGTGGTAAAAATAAGCACAGCCTTGTCTACACTGCACCATTTCCAGCCATGTGCCCCTGCAACACACACAGCACCTTCACGTGGAACTGTGGAAGCCTGGAAACACAAGCCCTGATTTTCTAGGTTAGCTGCAGTCAGATCCCACTCAACTGTCTCTTAAAATAAAAGGTTTTTAAATGACTAATCTGCTCGGAGGCAGATGCATGAGCCTAGTCTCTTTAATCTTTTGACACATGATAGCTCTTCTGTCTCTGCCGTCTTTCTCCCTGCTCACACTGTCTTCTGGGGAGAGATTGGAGAAATCACATCTAAAGTGAGGAAGAAGAGCAACTTTTAGACAAGAGACAGACCCACAGGATAAGTCCAACATTGACAAAAAAAAAATAAACCCTGGTGGCATTGAGTCTCAGAGCCCAGGTCAACTGACTGGGGCTTGCGCTATGAGGCTAAAAATAGCCGTGTAGACATTCCTGCTCTGGCTTTGAGACCTACCCCTTCACCAGGTTCCAGAGCCCAAACTCCAGCCTGAGTAGGAACACCTACATTGCTATTTTAGCCCACAGCGCAAGCCTGAGTCAGTTAACCTGGGCTCAAACATGCCCTCAACAACTACATCAAGGCTGTAGCAAAAATTGGAACTGCAAATGAACAACTCCACGGTAGGCAATTGTGTACACAATCATGATAGTTACATGCACAAAAGTGTGTGCGCACCCAGCTCCCATGATTCTGCATGGAACTGCAGTAAGTGTGCGCACAAATCAGCAGTTAGATTCCTAAACAGCCAGGTGAGTGGCCAAATTACCATGACTGCATGGTACTCACACACACAAAGTCATGCACATTCAGGTTTGGGCTCACAGTTCTAACAAGTTAGGACTGGTTTTAGTGGGTTAAGTACAGGTTAAACAGGACTGTCTTGGAAACAGTGAGGAACATTTGAGTGGCTTCCTAAGACTGCAGCAGCCTATTTTCTTCAGGGTTATTAGTACAGGTTTCACTATGTGATATACATATGCTGAAGGGATAAACTGGACAGCTCATCCTTACCAGATTCCTGGTTTCATCCTTCAATGGGAGCCACCTAGTCACATCCCCTAACTGGCAGCTGTGGCGAGAAGCCACTGAGTCACAGCTGAACTCCACTGCCGGTTAGTAAACCCCAACCAGAGCATCCTATCTTGCTTACCATACACCACATTCGTTAGCTACAGGCAGACACACCCCGCCTCTGAATCATACAGCCACCTTTCCCAGAGGGAAGTTCTCTCACCCTGATTCAGGTCATCATGCAAAGAACCTGCATGGCTGGGACTGGAGGGAGGAATCTCTGACCCGGGCACATCTCCGTTGGGCGTTAAGGATATGTGGCAGTTCCAGCCGGTCTCAAGACCCATCTTCTCAGCAAAGACCTGGGGGAGAGCACACAAGATTTTACAGAGCTGATGCAGGGACCAGTGCTTTGGGGTCAATACATACAGATGCCCCCTGACCAGCATATGCCACGGAGACCATTAGGCAGCTCGGTAGGGGTACTCTCAGACTATATGGGGAGGAACTTCAAGGCAGGGGCCAAGCAAGTTCAGAAAGGGATACAGCAGAGATGTAGCCTACCTTGCTCTTGAGCTCATCTTCCAGGGAAAAGTAGACAAAACGAATGCAGGCACTGACCAGCCCATCAATGAGGCGGACGATGTCAAGTCGGGCCTGGTACTGGGATGAGACCATTCCCATGAAGATCTGACCACTCAGAGCCTGGATACAATCCTCCTTCTCCATCACTTCCCCGATCCCTTCTTCAGGCATGCAAACAACACGCAATCACATTGAGACACAAACACCCACATGTGCGTGCACACACGGACACAGATAACGAGACATGACCACATGGAGACAGGCACCCATATGCACAGAAACATGCAGACACACGTATAGATGAACAGGTGGAAAGACACCCATTTGCCCAATCATACACAGTCACAAAAGGAGTTTTAAACACCCCAACATGCAGCCAAGAACACAGTGCAAAAACACACACAGCACAAAAACACACACAGCATGGGAAGGAAGAAAATAAAATAAAGGATGCTAGTCAGTTACAAGAAAGGGGTGGGAAGGGCACAGTACATGTGCTGCATGATGTACACATATGCATTTTAAGTACATCATACTGTGCTTAAACAACACAGCAAGTCTGGAGGAAGCTGACAGCCATGAAACTGAAGGGGAGTTGATCTCAAGTAATTGGATCAAACACGTTCTCTCTAGGGATGCTGCAGTGACTCCAGAATGACTTGTTAAGGATTTAGACTGACAGGATTCCTTCACCAGATCAGGGTGTGATTAACGTGACCTCGATACAGTACACAGTAAAGGATCCTGGTGTAGCACGAGAAATTGCACAATGAAACATTGTATAAATCGCTAATTATGCCTCCCAACTCCCACATGAAACCATGTTACCTCATTTTACAGAATGGGGAACTGAGGCACAAAGGGGTTAGCACCGCAATTTTCCAAAGGAATCAAAGGGAATTAGGCACTTCCTGACTCCTTTGAAAAACCCAGCATAAGTAACTTGCATAAGATTGCACAGATGCAAAGCCAGGAACAGAACTTAAAGAGTCCTGAGTCTCAGTCCCCTGGCTTTAATAAATTAGACTACCCTCAAGTGTAACTATTGTCTTACAAATTTAGGTAACTTTACGATAGAAATACACTTGCCAGCAGCATAAGTAATTATTTCCCTTTAAGGGAATGCTTAGATCTCAATTTCCAACCACTGCTTTGGAGAGCAAAGCTGCTACAGCTCCAGACTGATTGGGAATGGGAGACCCAGCTCAGCAACACATCCCACAAGGAGGAGGAGACAGACATACCATCAGAGCTCCAGCTGTTCCTTCTGCTGCTCTGTTTGATGGGTGTAGTCCCAGGAAGGTCACAGGATGTGAAGATGGCACTCTGTCCAGGGACCTGCACCAGTTCTATGCACTTGCCATTGAGCTGGGAGGACAAGGCACAGTGCATTGGCTTGTAGGCAAAGGCAGAACAATAGCCTGAGAGACATGCTCGCTGGTAGAAATCCAACACTTTCTTCCTATATGGAAGACACAAGATAATAGCAAAAGCTATCAGCGGCATGCTGCCATTCTGACCCCAGTATAACCTCTGGGAGCTCTGGGCTGGAGGAAATCAGCAATACAAGTTTCCTGGACCACTCCCTATAAGTTTGTTTCTAACGCTGATCAGAGACTGGTCTAAAGAGACCATTCCTATAGCTTGTATTCTTTGAGCTACAGCCACTAGAGGGAGACCTGAGCGTCTGAGCATCCTGTAAGAGGCAGTGATGCACCCACAGAGGGGTGAACAGACAAACTAATGTAGCATATTTGTGATAGAATTGGAGCTGCCTGTGAGAATTTATGAACACTAAATGTGTTATGTAGCTGTCTGATTATTGCCAGGGGGTTCATTGCATGAGTACTTGGGATTAATTCACCAACAAGGCTGTTTACTTGTGAGTAGGAAGAGTGCAATGGGCCAGATAACACTTCAGCAAACACTGTGGGGACAATGCTGGAACCACTGGCTGTGACGCAGACCTCACAAAACAGGTTTCCCCAGGCAGATCTCAGCCCCTATCAGGGGAGCAGGGAGATCAGAGGACTCATGAGGGTTTAAAGTCACACACTTCTCAAGGGAGAGACAGGGCTTCTGAGTAAATGTGAACCCAGACTTCGGAGGTCAGAGGGATCTGGGGTAAGACAGGCCTTTAGCTCAGACAGATATGCATCCAGACAATTTATTGTTTTAAAAACCCATTTCTCATGTTATGCTGTGCTCCCACTGTTAAGATTAAACAATACATTGTTTTAAGAAGACTGTTTTGGGACACTCTATTCGTCACTGGTCACAGCTCCTGAAGGAAAGAACGGCAGAGAGCTGAATGCAGTTGGACCTGCTGAGCAATCATGGTTGGCACACACCCATACAGGATGCTGTAGCATCACAGGATTCTACCCAGGAAGGCAAAGGCTCAAGGCCTAAAAACTAGAGGGAATGCGCTCAGAGAGAAAGGAAGGAACGAGAGATGCAGCTAGCACTGAACCATGACCATATTATATAGATTTGCATGGTGCAGCGACACAAAGCCAATGCAAGTTGAACGAAGAGCCCCTCCATCACAGTACACCAGTGGTGCAGTTCCAAATAGCTGCATTTAAAGGCACATTGTCAACACGCAGTCATTGGAGTAGCTTAAAATTCCATGTTTGTTTTAAATTTGCAGCGGTAACATTAGGCTGGGCCAGAACTACTCAACACAGAGTTTTTAATCAATGCCTTGTAAAAGAAATATTCAAAAAAGTAACAGGTCTTAATGCCTGAAGATAGCCAGACACACTAGCACAGTGGTCCCCAACGTGGTGCCCGCCGGCGCCATGGCACCCGCTGGGGCATCTATGTGCGCCCGCGTAGTGGCCGGCGGACAAGCATCCGCCGAAATGCCGCCAACAAGCAGCGTCATCCAGAGGCGTCGCCACCAAAATGCCGCCGAAGCCTCTGGATGACGCTGTTTGTTGGCGGCATTTTGGCGGCGACGTCTATTGACATTGCCGCTTCTTGGCGGCATTTCAGCGGATGCTCGTCCACCGGCCACGGTCTGCGGTGGCTCATCGTCTGGCGCCTGCCAGACGAAAAAGGTCGGGGACCAACAAAACAAATCAGGACTGATCTGTCAAATGACAAAAGCTGACAATAATGACATGAGGCGCACCAAATTCACCCCGGCAAGATACAACTAATAGCTGGTATGTACCACTCCTTGTATGCAGATATGGGACTTCCCAGAGATAACCGAACAAAATCCTATTGCCACCATCACTGAACTTGCTTAGAATTCTTGGGCACACTTTACAGTAAGGTTTCATTTATAAACAATTTAGAAAGGGTTTATAAATGATGAACAAATGTTTTAATAAATGGTCGGTAAATTGTTAAGAGTCCAACGAGTCAATAGATTGCTTAGAACCATGTAACCCCTTTTAACGATGTGCTTATAACCAACTACAGACAACTCACATTTATAACAGCTATTTATCATTTATAAATGGTGTATAAAGTATTGTTATGTGGAGCCTTAATATAAACATAATTCTCTCCAGTAATTAATTTTAAACCAGCAACTCCTGTATGCCAATGAGGTAAGGCCACCCACCTGTCCGAGCCGGAGAGGGGGTAGATATCAGCACCATCCCAAAAGTCTGTGCAGGCCTCAAGAATGATGTCAGCTGTCCCGTGAGAAAGCATCTGCTCAGTGCCTAGGGGAAAAACGGGTAGGTGTCTCACCTGTACATTCCCAACCAAGGGATTGAATTACAATGGCTCGTTTGACAGTTAAAAACTACAGAGTATCCCACAATAAGACAGAACGTCCTGATCTACCCAATACATCCCCACTGGCCATGTCAAGAGTGTGTCAGCCACTGAACAGAGACTGTTCAAGAGAAGATGATGTAGGTTTGGCTGCTCTTTGCCTGGCTATAAGTTAACTGAGCTAGTGGTAAATTGTGGACCTGGTAGCCAGTTCCAGTACCTCTCCCCTTACACTGCAATGATCTTTCTCCTGCAGAAAAGTGAGGACCAAGTTGCTTCTGTATCCAGTACGCCTCCAAATCAGGGTATAACCAGGAGTAATGGAGCCATGAGATGAAATTAAGTAACGGGAAATTTGAGTTGAATAACAGTGAAAGCCTGTTAATAGACTGGAGCCTATTGGATTGGAGGCAGCATGGACTAGAAAGGGCACAGGACTGGGACACAGGAGACCTGGGTTCTATTCATTGGCCTGGCAAGTCACTTCACCTCCCAGTGCCTCAGATAACGATACTGACCTCCTTTGTAAAGCGCTTTGAGATCTACTGATGAAAAGCACTGGATAAGAGTGAAGTATTATGATTGTCAGCACTATTCCACAGGTGAATTTGGGTGATTAACGGTCATTGCGTGGGGCATTTATAACGAGGCTGGACGAAAGCTCTAGAAGACGTACTGTAGAGGAGAACCCCTCGCACTGACCAGAGGAGGTGCCAAGATTCCTTAATGTCCATGATCTTTTCGATCGTTCCACCTTTTCCAATTCTAGGATACTTTAAGGCTGAACAATAACCTGCAACTCATCCAGCTGGGCCTGGGTGTTCCAGATCATCATGTGATTTTCACTTATCTGGTACAAGACCAGGGCCTGGTAGGTAGATCTAAAGTCAAGGATGGAGGGGCTGCCTTTCCTCCAGAGTTCCTCTCTCATTAGCTCATGTGGAAACATTAACATTACATGCACATAGCTTTCACTGTCAAGGTTAATTTGATTCCCTCCTCCAGCTGCTGTGTGACTGCCCCCAATGGCTTCAAAGCTGATCTAAAGAAAAAAAAAATCACTTCCAAAAAGCGAGTCCAAAGACTCTTGCAGGCATTGCTGCCGAGTGCCGACACTCATGCTAGCCAACGAGGTCAAGAGCCAAGAATATCCGTTCATGCAAATCAGGCAGGGACCTTCATGAATACTTGAGGATTTTCCAAAACATACCAGCTCTCTGCTTTGTACTAAAAATAGATACCACATGCTGAGTTTATCAGCATAACAAATATCTGAATGCAATAGGAGCAGAATGTGAAAGAGGGGACTTGTTAGAGGAACACAATGGACAGCTTGTGTGAGGCTTGGGTTAATTTTACTGTAAAAACTTTATATCCTCCCATAGTGGATGTATGGTCAGATAGCCTCTGCTGTGAACAAAGGGGCAGGAGATGCTAGCTGACCCTGCAAAGTCCCCATGCCTCATATACCGAGTAGGAGCTGGTGGGCAAACACACAGATGCACACCAGCAGCTACATTTCTGCTTTCCATCCCACATAGTTTCTGTTCAATATCAACAGCACCTTGCACAGCCCACCCCACTGTCACTCTGTAGAAGTTAATGCTAGTGACACAGGGCGCGTACCGCTCCAATCTGTGCTAGGGCGGCATTGATTCCAATGTCATTGATGGCACCGTGAGCTAAACTTCCCCCCAGCTGGGATTAGTAAATCACAAGGTTAGTAAGAGAAATGGGATTCTGCTAAAACAGGGGCCATTGTTCACTCTGGCTTTTGCCCTACAATCTGCACCTAAGCCACAAACAGACATCCATGTAACACTCACGGCCTACGCCTTACACAAATCACTCAAGGGACCAGAAAAAGAATCTACAAAGACGTACAGATCAGATGCCTCATGGCACAAGGAAACAACTAAAAAACCCCTAGGCTATAACTCTAGGTAAATTAACAACCTGACCTGGGAACATAACCATTAGCTAACGAGCGGTGGGATCGTTTAGAAATGGCTAAGGATGGGTATTAAACACCGTGACTGTTCACTATTTACATGTATACCCTGCCAAATTACGCTGATTTACAAAGCAAGAGACTCCTCACTAGGCTCCTGGCAGTAAGCTGGGTGAAATCCCTGCTCCCACCTGGCATTGGGGCTGGGAGACGAGGTGCTCCTGCTGGCTGGCTGTGGCCAATACTGAATCAAGCTGTTTTCTTGTAGGGCTAGAGATAGAGGCTAACTGAGCAGCAGTGAGTCTGCTCAAGTGAGCCAGATCACTTTTTGCATTGGATATGGGCTTGTGTTAAAACTCTTCCTAAACAAGAGATTCCTAACAGTAACCTCAGCCTCCAGCACTGGTGCAGTAATCAAAATAAGACTATGGAAAATTAAGATTTTAAATACAACAAGGGAAGATGGAGGCAGTACAGGCCATTGGGTCATTTCACTCCAGGAGCATGTGAATCCTTAACTCACCTCCCGTTACTGTGGATTTGGGGTGAAATTAACAGGGACGTTATTTCACTAAACGAGACAAGGGAACCTAGAGATGGGTTATGTACCATTTCTGCTAAGGGTACAGAATTTACTACCTGTTCATATTTGGTTTCCTTACGGAGGTCTCGTTACGGTGGAATGAATCTTTGAATCCATACAAGATTTTTAAAGCCAAAAGGGGCCATTATGATCAGGTCTGACCCCCTGCATAACACAATCCAGAGAATTTCACCCAGTAATTCCTGCACCAAGCTCATAACTTCTGGTTGACCTACAGCACAATTTTAGACAGCCACACAACCTCGATTTAAAGGCTTCAAGTGATGAACAATCAACCACATCTTTAAGTAAATTATTCCAATGGTTAATTACCCTCACTTCTTACAGTTCACTCTAGACAGCATTATTATGGTCATACACACACACACACACACACACACACACACACGTCTCGAACCCTACGTAAGGGTAAAAAAACTTTTACTAAAGTTAAGGAAAT